AGAAAATTATTGCTAATTGCTAACTTTTCAGCGCTTCCACTATATTCCCTCTAAATATTTGTACAGGAAATTCTCAAAACATGTGTCAATGAGTGAATGACAATTATGCTGTAATGACATCATGATATTTCCCATATTTATGCAGTGTCAAATGTTGTTTCATCATGGGAAGCTCTGACTTCTCACATGTAAGAAGTTGTTTGGAATAAAGTATTATATTCTGAAATGCCTTTGGGAAAAATATTTAATAAGCGCACCATTCAATAAACCAGTTTTTAATTCCAAATAAATCAAAAGGCAAGTCGATAACTGACATTATCGACAAGTTGATAGCTGATAAATGTTACAGTAGATGAATCAGTACTGTAAAATTTTGAAGGTGTGCTTCACAATACTTTGCGATACAAAGGAGAAATTAAAATAAGCTAAAAAGTACTTTGAAGTTGATGAAAATTTGTCACTCAGAGGCAGATCACCAAGAGCTCTCACCAAGAGCAAACGAAAAGTCACCAAACCCCTTGGCAACACATAGAATCAAAGTCTGCAAAGAGACTCCTGGAGTTTATACCAGGAAACATCAGGACTGGTCTGAAAAACTAGACCACATGATCAGTGAACCTATTGATCATGAACAAGGCTTGTTGTATATGGAAGAGCAATTCCAAGCGCAAGAAGCTGACTCAACAACATGCCAAGGTGTGGGTAATAAGTGCATGTAGTTGTACAGTAGGTAGGTGTAGGTAGCAGAGGTGGTAGTTCAAAGGAGAACCTGTGACATGAAATGCAGATGGAGGACAGACAAGGCAAAGAAAACTCAATACCTCGCAGATACAGTATAAAGGATATTTTGTGATTTCTTCATAGCCACAAGGACTGTTTAAGACCCAAGCAACCAAGGACCTGTCTTTTTGAGAAACTGAGGAAAGGATTGACTAAGGAAATGGAGTCAGTCAACACCTGCTGGAGGAAGACAAGACCCGATTAGAGATGAATTTGGAATTTCAACACTGTAAGAACTGTTACAGAATCAGAGGAGACCATTCACCCCATCTAGCTCATTTGTTAGCTAGTAGCTAAGTGATGCAAGGATCTTACCCAGTAGTTTCCTGAAAAATTCCAGGGTATCAACTTCAACTACACAGCTGAGCAGCTTGGTCGCTACTTCCACAATCCCCTGAGGAAAAAGTGCTTCTTGTTCTTGGTTTTAAACACACTAGGTGCAGAGCTCAGGCTGTCTTGTGGCCTCGTACCTCTGGCTCCAATTGACAGTGTGGGTAAAGTTCTCTGCTCATTTTTCTGCTTGTGGTCCACCAGTGTTTGACCACAGGATCAGGTGCCTCATCGGAAGGGAGATACTTGTGGTTGATTGAGTCCTGCAACTCCCAGGAGAGGTTACAAAAGAAGACGGAGTCAAGTTTCAGGAGAAAATGCAGGACATCTCCCCCCACTTCCTTGACCACCTGACACCTCCAGTTCCTCGTGATGTACTCGTGCCTGCCTCCCCAGACCAACTTGAAGATCATTCCTTGCAGCGCTCCTCTGAATCTGGCTGGCAGCGCGTACACCACGGCCAGGTAAGCTAAAGCCAGCAGGATGTTTGCTTTCAACTCCATCCTGTGTCTTCCACAGACCCAGCTTCCCTTTGAAGATCCTCTCAGTCCAGTTTAAGATCTCTTTGTCCTGTCTCTGGAACAGCACCCCTAGTATCTTCAGGAGCTCCATTCAGAGCTTGAGACCTTTCAACGCCATCTTCCTGTTTTTCCAGGGTCCGAAGAACTTGACCTTGCTCTTTCAGTAGTTGAGCTTCAAGCCCAAGGCCCTGGAGTGTTGATTCATGCCCTGTAGGGCTCTCTGCAACCCCCTGTCGGATGAAGCTAACAGGAGATCTTGAGGACTTCTCAAGATTGCCAGGTCATGGGTGACTGGGTCCTGTCTCACTGCCTCCGCCAATGGTTCTGTAAAGAGAACGTAGAGAAGAGGTGAAAGAGGACATCTGTGTCATGATCTGGACTCCTGGGGGATGAAATCCAGATGTCCATTCCAACTGCCCACTTCAGAATACAGTATCCTTATCCAGCAGCTGAAACTCTCTCCGAAACCAAAGCGTTACAACACTGTGAACAGATAGCTGTGAGCTATTGCTCTGTGAAAGGCTTTCTCGTGGTCCAGGCTTGCTGTCATCATGGGCACGTTTCGGTCCTTGGCCCAGGCGATGGAGTCACCAGTGAGCTGGGACAGGGTGGTCCTCAGTCCGCTAGCTAGTCGTTTGGACAGGATCTGAACATCCTTGCAGAACATTGTTAATTGGCCTCCAGTTCTTGAGGCTGGCAGAAGACAGAATATACTGTAGAAGCACTCCTAAACATGGTGTTCCTCCCATTTGTTCATGTCTAGCCAATTACTGCACATTTAAACACAACGATCCTGCCACTTGTTCGGGTTTGGCCATTTATGGATTGTTGCCATTTACACCTGATGAAAGAGTAGGTCTGTAACAAAAGACTCACATACATTCTTGATCAAGAAACTAAGGGTAAGGCAAAAAATTACATATTCTTTACTATGGATGAGGATTATGTTTGTCAGGTTTAATTGTGTCTTTTCCTAGATCTGTCCCTCCTCCTTTATCCTCACCTCTCATCTGTTGGCAATGAATCGTTTAATGACAGCGTTGGACTCAGGATCGGGGAATATGCTGTTAAGGGCGCCTGTCCTGTATGTATGGTCTCCATGACTCTGTTATTAAGTCGGATTTACCACTGTATTCATTATCACCTGCAAAGGTAATTCTAACGTCTGCTATTGGGTTGAGAAAAACATTACTATACTCTTAAAAAATTGATGGTACAAAGTAGCACAATAATTTATTTTTGCCTTTAATTCCTCAATGAATATTTACTTTAAAATATTTTTATGGTCAGTATTGTCTGACAGTATTAATTAATACTAAATATTAATCAATTCAAACTTAACCTTAAATTTAATTGATTCATATTAATCAATTAAAACCTAAAACTTTATAAAGTCATCTTAATTTAATTTGTAATTCATTAGTTTCCAGCTAGCATGTAGGTGTCGGGTGTCCGTTACTTTTTTTCAGTGGCTTGTCTGATAGTGGGGGGTGGCATAGAGGGTAACCAAATGGTCTCATGTACCCCGGTTCTCCCAGCTGTATACATGGGGACCAGCAATCCCAGTGGTGGACTGGTGTCCCATTCAGAGAGGAGTCACATGCCTTCAGTCCACTGTACCATATTGAATTCAGGGCGCCTTTTGAAGTTAGCGGTATGATACAATACACTTTTGGAATCTATTTCTATTAACAATATTAGTTATGATAGCTTTTGAGTTAATAATAATGATAATAATTGCTTACACTTATATAGCCCTTTTCTAGACACTCCACTCAAAGCGCTTTACAGGTAATGGGGACTCCCCTCCACCAGTGTGCAGCCCCACCTGGATGATGTGACAGCAGCCATAGTGCACCAGTATACTCCCCACACACCAGCTCTCAGTGGGGAGGAGAACAGAGTGATGAAGCCAGTTCATAGAGGGGGGTTATTAGGAGGCCATGATTGGTTACACGCTTAATCTTTTTGAGAAACGCCTTGCATATATGTTTAATTGGCTATAGTCTTAACAGTGTGATATGGATGGTAAAATGTCTACATTAATATTATGATGTTATATAGTAGAACTTTAGAAAAAAGCCAAAAATCAAGTCAGAATTTTGTGAATATGTTTTGCTCCTTCAATTAAATACCTTAAAAGTCTTTCAGTGAAAGACTCTGCAAATTTTTAGTTTAGAATAGGGAAATATATTTTGCAGTGTTCAAAGAGTTCCAAACATTAATGTATTTGCATTTTAATGGTTTTATCCATAAACATTAAATATTGTCACATAGTGTTTCCAAGTTTAATTATAAGAATAATATAAAGTCCATTAGTTTTAAACTCTGAAGTCATTGAGACCATAGAGATTTTTTTTTTAAATACCAGTTGTTGCTGTTGGGTGTGAGCCTTCCAAATCAGTTTTTGGGCCATACATGTGGGTAGGTATTCTTATGTTCTTGTTTTGATGGGATAGTAAACAGTCTGGTAGCCTTAAATTTATGATTAGTCATTATTCAACTTGTGGAGGTTGAAAACCAGTTGCCCGCGCCCTTCTAACAATTATTTTCCAGTGGTAATGATACTGATTGGATTGCTTCTGTGTTTTGACAACCCAGATAACCACAAAACACTGCAATATCTCAATGAAAGCATTAATTTTCAACCAATCTATCAAATGGTAATAAATATGATCATTGTCTACTAAAATATTGTAATTCTGGGACAGATTCATTTTAGTGATAATGAATACTGATAATCTTCCAACATTTCATGTCTTTGTTTACACAACAAATACTAAACATACACTTGCATTTTCTTTACCAATACCAGCTTTCAGTTGCATTGTTTCTGCTTTTTGGTTTCTGTTTGTTTGGTTTATGACTCAAGCTGTCATTATAAAGAATTAAATTAACAAAGTGAAGGGTTTGAATGCGTCTTCAGCTGTTTTTTGTATAATAACAAGTGGCAAATAGTTTAGCACACTGCATTGTTTACACGTTTCACTCAGGTAAAATCCATAATAAATAATTTATTAAGGCAGAGATGTCAGTTTTTTTATAAATTCTTTAGCTTGCCTTTGCTCTTGCATGTGGTGTAACTGCAGCTGATGTAAATGCTTCTAAAATGTAGTATTTGAGATATTTCTTCAATTGCATTTTTAAGGGTGATTTTGAAAGTAACATCTCTACCTATTCTGTCACTTTTCTGATTGGTTCAGTTGTAGCAAATAGCAACATATAATGCAGAGCAAAATGTTATAAACCCAAGGCCAGCACTGAAACTGATTGTGCTTACAGCACAGCTGAATGTGTCTCGACTGTTTTTTTTATTTCCTGGAGGGGTGTGAAACATCTTGAAGGAGTCAAATTCACAGAGCACAGGGGTTAATACCCCTGCCCCTCAGCAACAGACACAGGATCATTAACCTCAGAGAAACAGACTAGAGCTTGTTTCACAGCTCATCACAGACGCACCAACCGCAGGAAAATCCGAGCCTCTGAGCAGCCTGCTCAGCTGCTGAGAGACAGGGCAGAATCAGGTTATCTGAAATCACAGTGTGAATGTTTGACCTTTCTGCCCGGAGGTAAGTGTGCCGCTGTCAAGGATTCTGGGCTTTTCTGTGCTGCTCTCTCTCCATCATTGCCGTCTCTATTAAAGGACTTTCCCTTCAAGCAGTGCTGTCTCATATTTCAGCAATGGAATGGCAGATATTCTCAATCCTTTCCGCCTGGGAGAGGTAGAAGTAAAGGTGCCAGAGCTTCAGGATGACTGATGAAGGACTGTCCACAGCAACTGATTACCCCAGAACCACTTCCCCTCTCGGATTAGCACACTGGAAAGAGGTAAGTCTCATATGAATGTGTTTTTCCTATTGCATGATTATTAAGTTCTGTATTTTTTTATTTTTGTGAGCATGCATTGGCTTACATATAAAGTCGTAAAACTGTACTATAACAAGGATAAAGTTAATATTTTCTCAACCGTCTTAGCATTCATTTAAAAAATTGTCACGGAACAGAATTTCCTATTTTCATTCCTCAAAATCTAGCAGTTTCTTAAATTTTACACATTTATATTCTTAGGTTTTACAATCCGTATTTATCTAAAATACAGTGCTCACACAAAGTGGTCTGTATTTGTAGCTTTGCCAGTTTTGTTTTTATAATGATGGTTTCTGAGTTTCCCAATTCATTTCACACAAGCGCATTTGCGTAGTGTACCATGTGAACGCCAGGGAACCAAAGACATTGTCTTTTCTTGATGCCAAGACACACTTCTTGCTGTCTATGCACTCATTGTACAGTGCCTTCCAAAACTATTCAAACCCTTCCTTTGGCAAAAGCTCAGAGTGAAAACTTCTTCTTGCAAAGTAAGTTACAATAAATATAAAAAAAATAAAAAAGACCAATCGAAACTGAAGTATGTTGGTTGCTTAAGCATCCCAGTCCATGAACTTAACATCTTGTGGAAGCAGGTACTGTAGCTTTAATCCCTAGTTTGCTTGGGTTCATTTATGAGCAGCAGTTTTCAAATCTTTCCACAGAGTATCTATAGGATTCCAGCCATGACTTTAACTGAGCCACTCAGGGAAGTTCACTTTTTTATTCTTAAACCACATTAGTGTAGTTTTGGTTTTTGGGTCATTATCCTGATGAAATGTAAAGGTCTGTCCCAGTTTTTCTTCTAAGGTCTGCCAGTACTTTGCTCCATCTATGTTCTCCTCAGTCATGATGAGCTTTCAACTCCCTGCTAATGAGAAGCAGAACTTGAAGATACTGCTGTCTCCAGCTCAACAATGTGACTGGATCTGACTGAGGGATTCACAGTGTTAGGAGTGCGTCAGATGTAATGCTTTGCAGTTAGACCAAAAAGTTCCAATTTTATCTTGCCACATGTTTGCAGTATCACTCAAATCAGTTTTTGTAAACCGTGCTGGATTTCTGTTGATTATTCCACTCTCCCATAAAGGACAGGTTTGTGTAGTGACTAGAGTTCATTGCTGATCCATGGATCTTTTCTCCCAGCTCAGCCACTTAGCTCTGGAACTTTCTCGAAGTCACTGTTGACCTCACAGTAGTTACATCCCTCACCAGTTTCCTTTCTGCCTGGCTGCTCCGTTTGGACAGACAGCCTGATCAAGACAGTGTCTGAGTGCCTTCCACTTCTAAATTATCCACTTCACCGTGCTCAAAATGATGTTACAGGACTTTGAAAAGTTTTTACAACCTTCTCCTGATTGGTGTCTTTATACAACATAAGCTTATGTTGTATAGAAAACTCCTAGGTCTCCATGGTTGAAAATGTGCTCGAAGTTCATTACCTGACTGAGGGAACTTAAAAAGATAGGAACATTTATTCTGAAATCATGTGAATTACTATTATTGTGCACAGACAGGAGCAACGTAACTAATTTGTATGTCTCATTAAGGTAATTTTGAGCGCCCAATTTAATTAAGAATCCCAAAGCAAAAGTGTATGAATACTCATATAATCATAACCTTTTCATTTTTTTATCACATAGATTGTCTATTTACTGATTTTGGTTTTTGTTTAGAATGTGTTCTATATATAACACATATTAATTTCTACTTCAAAGTGTCATCACTACAAGCTTTTCAAGCAACAAAGTAAGAAGACTGTGCAAGGCTCTGAAAACATTTGCAAGACACCGTATCTGAAAATAAAGAGTGAAATGCAACTTGTACAAGGGAAAATTGGCTCCATGAATGCATGCACATATTGTGTAATGTTTAGTTTACAAAAAGTACGTAGACAACATATTGACATCATAAAAAGATTATGCATTTTGATACTTTTTTGCAGCAGTCATTCAACATCTATTGGAAGACAAATGGCAAGCTGTAGACTAGACTGCAGTTTGTCCAAGTGGGCTCCATGTGGGCATGACTGTGCTACAATCTATTGCCATAATTGTCTGGATGTTAACAGAGCTCTAAGAGAAAGGTTCCCGAATGCCAAGAACATCTCAGATGATGAGTCCAAGTCTCCACTCACATATTGAGAAATTACATGCACAGGTCATGCACAGGACTCCACAGTGTTTTTTTTTCCCCATCAACACTTATCTTTTACAGGAAAGAACAGGCTGATATAGACAACACCTACTGTGCACTGTCAAAGTAATAGTGTGGTGTTTATCATTGACTTTTATACTGGCTGCACTGTTACCAGCTCCCATTTTCACATGATCGTTCTGAATATTTTGGTGTTGTCACGATTGTAGGGCACTCTGGCACTTTCACATTTGAGTTGATTTTGTGCACCTGCTCCCAGTTCCCGCCTCCCTACTTAAACCAGACGCTCACTCTGTTCCATGCTCTGCACTGCTTTCCAGTACCAGCCGAGTCCGGGACCTGGAGCGCCTGGTCCCGTTCCCCCTTTTTCCCCTCGACCCTCCGCCGGATCCCGCTCCAGTTTTTAACTCCGTTTGTCTTCGTCTTGGATGGACCTCCCGGCTCTGGAAATTTGCCTCGTCAAGGATTTCCCTGTGGACACTCTTTGGACTGTTTGCCTTGGACTCACCTCCCAGAACACCAGTGCACCATGGACACGCCCCTTATTTTCATTCCTGATCCCTGCATGCCTTTTTTCCCTTTGTTTTTCTCACTCTTCCCAGGATTGTGTCGTCTGCATAGATTCCTGAAAGAACGCTTTCGTTACAGGTGTCTGAGGAGTTACTATGACCAAAAGACCAATATGCCCACATGCCCAGACAATGTCACTGATACAGTATATACTATCAGGATATCAGTGACAATTGGACTGACATAATTGAACACTTGAACTGGCTATTGCTAATCTTCTTGGTCATGGCATAGTTTTCCAAAATGACAATGCTTGTGCTCATCTCCAAATACTTCTTATCTAGACCCCACCTCAGCCAGCAGTTTCTTGTGCCCTTTTAGCCATGGAAAACGTTTGGGAAGCCCTTGCCTATACTTACAGACTTCAACCACGGAACCTCCTGGAATGGTATCTGTCAACAGGGGAAATGACTACCTATCCTCAGCATATTAAAGGACAGCTCATCAGGAGTAAGAAATTCCACTATTGGATATGTCTGGCTACTGGAGGAGAACAAGCATAGAATCAGAGCAGAATTAAGTAAAGGAAATATGAATGTCTTTCACTTACCAGTTGAAAACAAATTCCATTTCATTTTTAAAATGAAATTAAAAATTAAATTTAAATTTAAAATTTAAAATGAAATTATTAGTGATCATATCCTTTAGCTGAAACTAGAGAAGAATAACTATTGCCATTTTTGTCACTGTTCAGCATGATTTGCATTATTCAGGGAGTCGTGGTATGTCTTCTGAGCACTGTTTAGGCTGTATGGACTTTTCTCTGAGCACGTTTCAGGGGGTACTGCACTGTCCTGTGAGCAGTGTTCAGGAGGTACTGCATTGTCCTGTGAGCAGTGTTCAGGGGGTACTGGACTGTCCTCTGAGCAGTGTTCAGGGGTAAGATAAAATCACTTTATTTGCCATATACAATTTCTTGTATGAGGAATTTGTCTTTTTGCAGACCCCAGCTTGCTCTCCATGAGACACACAGACAGAGAGAGAAGCTTGGGGTCAGAGCGCAGGGTCAGCCATTTATACAGCACCCCTGGAGCAGATGGGGTTAAGGGCCTTGCTCAGGGGCTAAAACAGCTACAATGGCTACAGGCTCAGATCCTTAGCCTCGACTGTCCTCTGGGCTGTGTCCAGGGGGTACTGGACTTTCCTGTGAGCAGTGTTCAGGGGATACTGGACTGTCCTGTGAGCAGTGTTCAGGGGATACTGGACTGTCCTGTGAGCAGTGTTCAGGAGGTACTGGAGTGTCTTCTGCCAGCAGTGGCAGGATAAGTTATAGAAGCTAATGCTGCTTCACAGTGAGAAGGAAAAATGGGAAACCACACACAAACCCTTACGCAAAACATCAAAATTATCATCATTTTGGGAAACAAAAGCCATGGAAATTTTGAGTTATAAAATAAGGACCCAACACAGGCCCAGTTTTGCGGGACTTTAATTGTACAGTGTATGTCTTTCTGAAACTCACACACCCTTTGGATTCCTGTAACCAGCTCAAAGTCTCCTGGGAGTACAAAAAAGCATGGCTCTTAGACTTTCTTTTAGCTTTCAAAAGGCTGTCTATCCCTGTTTATTTGACATGACATTCTTTCTCAGTTCTAGTCCCAAGGTGAGCATAATGTTTTACATCATGTCTGGCTGCCTGGGAAGGTCAGTCTTAGTCTCAGACTTATCAGGACAAAACACCACAGGGTCAGAAAAACAGACAGACCTAGTGCAGCGCTATCTGAGAAAAAAAAATACTTTAAAAAAGAGTTTATCAACAAGCAATACTGGAAAGAAAAAACAATAGAAGGATTACCTCCACGTAAGAGCTCCAGAATATATCGTCCAACCGGGGTTGTGGGCCGGCCTCATACAGCAAATCTGTGCTTATCACAATTTCAGTGCAATGCAATACCATGTCAAGATGATAGATTAAGAAATGTAGGAGACCTTTATGTCCATCTAGTTGTTTGCTTTTTAGTAGCTTAAAGATCTAATCTGTTTTCTTAAGGATCCCACAATGTCAACGTCAACCACATTGCTAAAGAGCTGGCTCATACTCCCAGGGTCCTCTGTGTAAAGATTTGTCTCCTATAATCTGTCTTGAGAGCTCCTAAACATAATTTAAATTATTGTCATTTGCACTTTTGTACTGTTTATGAAGAAATCACTAGAGTTGACTAGAGTCCTTTCAGAACAGGACTGTTTTTATTCTTCTTTCTACTGCCTCTGGAACAGTAATATCTTTTTATTTGTGTGGTTACAGAAATTATATATTATACAATTAGACATTTTAAACGTGAGATTCCTGTTTTCTGTGAACCCTTATTCTAAAGTTGTGTTTGTCTTTTATATTGCTGCCCACATTCCATAAACACCAGTCTACTTCATAAGCTTAGTTTTCCATTCTGTAGCTATACTGTAATTTGTTCTCGCTACCTGCACTTGTCTATATTACAGGTCACCTGTCAAGTGTCTTGCATTCTTTCAAAATATTTTCTTAATATCATTTGCTGTTTGTACGATGTTTGCTAATCCTCCTATTTCAGCAAAATCTTAAAACTTCACTAATTCTTTTTCTTTCTTTTAATCATACCAGAATATATACAGTATGTAGATGATATTAATTGTGAGGAGCGGTAGTACTGTATTAATACAGATCCCTGTGGTACATATAGCATATCACTGAAATTGGTACATTATCTCCTTATCTGTACTCTGTTTTCTATCCATTAACCAGTTTCCATTCACACACTTGCATTACCTGAATGCTTACTGTCTGCAATTTAAGGAAGGTGTTTAAGGCAGGATTTGAGAAATTTTGTGAGGAACTACATATAAAGCCTTTCTGAAATCTAAATAAAGCACATTATACACAGTGCCACATAAAAGCTTGTGAACCCCAATATAATTATCAGATTTACAACTTCTTACCAAGATAGATTTATTCAAGTTGAACTGGTCTTTTCTCAAAAACCAAAAATGAGTATTTAAGAATGAGTATGTGTGAAATAATAAGTGAACCCCCAGGTTACTTAGCACAAACAATGTTTAATTAAGTTAAGAATTATAATTAGAATCAGGAGTGTAAATAATTGGATAACAAGTGAACAAGGCGTTTGGGCAGTCCTTTCTGGTATAACAGTCAGAAACATTGTGGGTTTGGTCTTTACCATACAGGTTAGTGAAAATGCATCATGCCATGAGATTTCAAAGTCCCCCAGTAAAAGAGTAATAGCTGCTCATCAGTCTGGAGAAGGTTACAAAACTGCAAAACATTCTGAACAAATGGACTCCCACCCATCCACTGTAAGACAGATACAAAGTCTACAAATGGAAAATATTCAAGACCGCAGTGACTCAACCCAGGACCAGTCGTTCTGTTAAGATTTCCCCAAGCGCAACCCAAAAAAATCATCCAGGAAGTCACAAAGAACCCCCAAGATCTAAGGATCCGCAGGCATTTCTCACTGCACTGTCTCTGTCAATGGAAACCATCAGGAAAAGACTGAACAGGAATAGTTTTAATGGGAGAAAAGCCCGGCAGAAAAAATTGGTCTCTTAATAAAGAACATTGTTGCCCAAGTTCATCACAAAGCACCTGGATGATCAACAAGACAAGTGGAAGATTGTTCTCCAGACAGACCAGTCAAGGAGAAATGAGGAAGGTTTTAAAAGCCAGACATTGCCTTCCAACAGCAAAACCTCATCCCAAACTTCTATCATTGGTTTTGCCTGCTTTGCTGTCTCTGGACTTGAATGGCTTTCCAGCTTTGATGCAACCATGAATTTGGTGTTACATCAATAAATTCCAAAGTGGATCATGCAGCAATTATTCTAAACATAGAAGGAAGGTAAAAATGGCAGGTGAAAAGGAATGGCAGAAATTCAAAAGTTGGTCAAAAATGGCTGAAATTCAAACTTGCTACTCATTATACTCCGTTTTTTCAGTATCACTGTTGCATGCTTTATGCTGAACTTGTGGACTGACCTAGATATTGTCGACTGAAGCACATTTTCTCCCATCTCAACAACCAAACTCTGTAGCTCTTTCAAAGTTATCACTGGCCTCACAGTTACACCCCTCAACAGTTTTCTTTACAGAGTAAATTATCTATTTAGATTTTTCTTTTTGTTTTTTGCTTTGAATGTGTGAAGTAGGTTGTGGATATAACAAATATTAATTGCTTCCACAAATGCTATAACTGAAAGTCATAAAAGCAAAAGAAAGGGAAAACTGCAAGGATCTGAATACTCTTACCAGGTACTGTGCATCATAAGACCCTTCTAATGTTGTAGCTTCTATCTCATACATATCATTTATAATATTACTTATTCAAGTTATATTTCATTGCTCAGATGTGTGCAAAGTTCTGCTTTATTCCTATTACATTATTTATGGCTACATATATTCTCGTATCATTCATGAACTTGACAGCTTGCTGACAATACCAGATTCTAGATCTCTGATGTACACTGGGAAGAGTCCATGTCTTAAAATTGATCCTTGTGGTACCCCACTAAAGACCAGTGTGTGGTAAAAACCTGCACAAATACTCTCAGTTTACAATTCTTTTAACCAATTATTTTTGCAAATCACACATTACATGGAATTCCTAAAGCCTTAAGATTGAAGATTAATCTTTTGTTGTACTTTATCAAAAGCTTTCTGATAGTCCAGTTATTTCCTATTACAATAGTTGTATGCAAGATGTCTACTAGGCTAGTAATGCCTGAACTATGTCTTCTAAATGTCTGTCTATGTAAATGAACTATTTCTTCTAGAATGTGCTGTTTCAATTCAGTTA